CAGGGTATTAATTCAGGCAAGGATTTAATTTATTTAGAGGCAGGGACTGCCAAGATTCCAGTTCCAGCCATCTGCACTATCTCTGCCTGCACTCATGGGGATGCCCAGCTCAAGTCCAGAGGCTGCCGGAGTGGGAGCACATGGAACAAGAAGTTAATGCACAGCATAAAATACACTTTTCTTCCTTGTGAACTGGCAAAATCTGTGTCTTCAGCACTGCCTTCTGACTGCTGCTTGCCAAAATGACTTTATGCATAACCACAGCAACTAAGACTGTAAGCTGAGTAACTCTATTTCAAAACAGGGTTTGGTAATGTGCAATAAATCGGGATGACACACTGAATTATCAACTGTCACACCACAGCCTTCTCACACACGGCCTTTGGACTGGCAGAAGCAAAAAGGAAAAATCAAAAAGGAAATAAAAGGCAATAAGCTAAAAGAATAGGGATACAGTTACAGCTGTTTAAAAATTCTGCATGTCAACACTGTTTACTTCTCTTGCTGTGCAGACAGCTGTACCACCACAGCATCTTTCTCATCATTAAGGGAGGGTTCATGTCAACAGAGGTGTTCGCCTTACCTTCTGCAGTAACCATGTTAACTTGTGTGCAAATTAATCCATGTTTTTGCAGACTTTTTAATGTAAATGGTCCCACCCTGTTACCACAACCCAAATCTGAAGCATCTACATGTATTAACACAAATTGCAACATCAGAATTTACCAACAGTAAAAAAACCCAGTAAAAATCTATCAAACTGATTTTGATTGTACTATTTATTTGCAATAAAAGGCAGATGGCTAGAAATTAAAATTACACCATCAAAAATGTCACATTTAACCCTTCATTTACTGAAAAAGTCAATAATTTAATCTGAAGTGTGCAATGCAGTATCTGGATACCAGGTCCATCACTCAGACAATGGGTGCTTTAGAGCAAAATACGCGCGAGCTGCTGTTCTCACCCAAAAGTTGGGGCTAGTACTACCTGCTCTAATCTGAACAGCACTTTGAAATATTTCTGTTTTCAGCACTCACTAATGCCAGCAATGCTAACAACCATCACAGAGACGTTAATAATGAATTAAGTGATGTATTTGTAACGCAATTTGGGTGGTGTGTCGTACCCAGGTCATGGCATGCAGAGCAACTGGCGGAGACAGAGCTCAAACACAAACATCCAACAGCTCCCTCACCTCAGCATCACTCCGGGTACAGGTGATCACCAGAATGAGAGCTGATGCTGTGCCTGCACCCCTGAAGACGCTTCTCCTGACTGTGGGGTCCCAGCAGAGGGGACAAAAGGGACAGCATCATGTCAGCCCTCTTTCGCGGAAGCCAGTTGTGGATACGCCCAGGGGAAAATGAGGCTTTTTTGGTGCCTGGTCATTAAAAGTAGAGAAGCACACTGACATATCTGAGCGCATTATTTATTACTTGGAAGCCTGTTAAGGAAATTCATTCATAAAGAAAGAGACATTTGTAATTCAAAACTCTGCCCTGGCAATCAGTGCCGTGAGTGCTGTGTTTCACACAAATGCACATGCAGAATGTCTGACGGGCTACAGACCAACATTACCAGCAAATTAACTCCTGGTAATCGTTAGGCACGTCCTTCCTGAGGACAAACCAACCAGGGTTCTCCTCTCCGCTGTCAAAATCCCCAGCTTCACAGGGGAAAACCATGATACACCAATTCTAATATTCCTAATGCTAGAAACTAGAACTCCTCAAATCAGAAAATAAGTATAAGAGCTTTAATGTTGAATAAAGTATTCAAACACAATCTCTCTTTATTAAATCCTTTTGCTGACCTTAAAGTCTATTTCACCTCAGAATGCTTAAGGCTTTGTTTTTGCTCACATTTAATTCTGCAGACTGAAATAGGTAGGACGAATTATGCTTCTGCAACCAACTTGAGATCTTGCTGTAGAGACACACTGAAAAATCTGCGACGATTTTTCTCATTGACGACAGCATTTTGCCTGGCTCTGTATCATGAAATAAATCACAAAACTCTGCTCGAGCTGACAAACTCCTCCTCTCCCGCCAGTTTAGTTTGCTGATGTGAATGAATTAACTCCTCCAACAGGCACTGACAGGCTCTGGGGGCTGCGGGTTCCCCCCAGATGGATTCCCCTCCGCGTCCCACCAGCTACTGCACCCACCACCGTGATGAAGGCTCCTCCGTACCAGCTCTCCTTGCTCTGCAGCACCCATCATCCTTGTTACCACTTCTTAACACTCAGAGTCATGCAGGCGATGGGTCTGGGTCCCCAGATTTGGGAAGTTCTTCCCCCAGGACGTGGCAGTGGTTCAGCCACAGCCCCAGGGGTGGCCGGGCAGCCGGGACCCTTCCCCACTCTGGAGTGCCAAGGACGATGCTCTCCCACCCCACAGCCCCCATCACCAGCCTCAGACCCCTCCAGGACCCAGAGGGTGACTTTGGTCATGGCACAGGCACAAACCACGAACACTAATTACTGACAGTTTCCGTATTTAGCAGGGATGGGTACAATGAAACCCACCACCTGATGTGCTCCAAGGCTGAGCCAGTCCAACATTACAGCTTTTCACCCTTTTTTCAGACACACACACACACACACACACACACACACACAGAGGGTGGATTTCTGTCTTAAGGAACAGAGCTATGAGTACCTTATTTTCACTCTTAAGAAAGTAGCAGTTTAAAAACTGTTCACATCATCTCTGTCAAGACTTTCCTCTGTGTCTGCGAAGTCACACACACAAAACTTACATTAAAGGGCTCTGTGAGCTTTCACAGCATATTAATAAAATCCTCCCAGAACATCTTCAACAGATTTGTGGTTTTATTCTCATCCTCATTTGTTATAAGCATAAGATTATATTAATTTCTATACTTCAACTTAAAAATACAACCGTCCTTGTCATATAAACTTCTTGTACTTATACTTTAAAAAATTATTTTGTCAAATTGCAGATCAGGGAAGAAGAGAAGGGAAAGAAGAGGCCAGAAAAAATGACAGAGAGGATGTAAAATATACACCATTGAGATGAAAATGGAGGCTCTGTGCAAGGTTCTTTTTTTATAAAGTGTTAGACTTTGCCTGTCCTGCGCCCCTGTACAATGGGATGAATGGTAAGCAACAGCTTTGCTTTTATTTAAAGAAAAATTTTGAAAGATCATTGAGATTCACATGTATCCCTCCAGCAGCATGAAAATGTAAATTCCCGAGTGGTGCTCACGGTGCAGCCAGATTTAGGACCACTGTTCAGTGTGCATTCAAGCCTTCCCTCTTTCATTCCAGAAAGGGAGAGGGGAGGAGGGAGAACCACCACCAGCACTCAAAACCCGAAATTGCCCGGAGGAACAATCCGTTTCCGCAGAACAAAACCCTGTCTGAGAATAAACGATAGACTGTTTGGGAGCTTTCCTTATCTGCTGCACCTCCATGATCCCAGCGGCAGAGCCAGCTGCCCAGCACGGCCGGGATCAGCCGGCACAGATCCTGAGCCCACCAAAAGTCACACTTTTATTTCGCTTGTCGGAGCCAGGAGAAAACACATCCTGTTCGCTGTGCAAGCTCAGCCTGCCCTGCAAAGGTTTATTGCGTTACTTCATTTAACAGAGAGAAACTGCAGAGCCTGGACATTCAGCTTTGAAAATAAACCCCTAAATTTTCTGAAAGGGGAAGGCAAGTGGTCGTCTCCCCCTCTAATTGGAATATACCTGCAGACATGTATTTTATTTAGTGTGTTTTATGATCAATTCACTGAAAAAGTCTGCTTCAAGCTGTGGCAGTACGACATGTGGCCTGAAGGGCAGATATGTTTCAAAGCTGGGCTTTAAAAATTGGATTTTGACTGCTAATTAATATAGCACATTACAGAATAGAGAACCCTAATTACATTCCACTGTAAGACCTCTGTGGCAAGGACTGTTTCAGACATCTCTCTGCAATATTTAGCATGTCAGAACACAGTTTCTGGCTCCTCCTGGAGTAACGAATCACATTTTAAAATTATAAGCCTTAAACCCTTAAAAAATTATCTAGATCTGTAAGAACTTCACATTGTGACATTTTACATATATCTGAAAATTCCTGTTTATGTTTGAATCACAGCAATTCAAGTTTTACTGTAACATAATTTGCTATAATGAGTTTTACATTTTTTGTGTTCAAATATCCTTTCTTCCAAAAGGAAGTACAA